TGCTGTATCCAAGCACCGGCTGCTGGAAAGCGCAGCTCATACAGAACATAAAAATACAGGGAGCACCTTTTCCAGCGTGCCCGATTCACACGTTCCCTCTGCCTAAAGCTGCCTACAGCTTAGGCTGGGCTGAAACGGCAGGGGGGCATTCTCAGCAACTCCTTGGCGACTGCAGGGTCATCCTCACACCTGATCACAACCCACCGGCCCCAGCCCTCCGCCCCATTTCCCTCCCTCCCGTTTCAGCTCGTGGGTCTCATTTGCTTTCCAACGGGGGGCTGAGGGCACCCAGGCTGGAGCGACGTTTTCCTAACAGCTCTTAGGCCAAAGCTCGGTCTTTAACATGGCGCGGGCAGCAGGTTGGTACCGCCTTACACTCCGTATGGGCCAGGAGATGCACGCTCCCTTGGGGAGCACCAAGCATGCCTTTCATAGACCCATAGAATCATCGAATGTTTTGGGCTGGAAGGGGCCCCTCGAGGTCACCCAGCCCAACCCCCCTGCAGGAGCAGGGACACCTTGAACCACAGCAGGTTGCTCACAGCCCCGGCCAACCTGGCCTGGAATGGTCCCAGGGATGGGGCCTCCACCCCCTCTCTGGGCAACCCCTGCCAGGGTTTCACCACCCTCACTGGAAAGAATTTCTTCCTTAGATCCAGCCTAAACCTCCCCTGCTTCAGTTTAAAGCCATCCCCCCTTGTCCTGTCCCAGCTGGCCCTACTAAAAAGCTTGTCCCCCCCTTTCCTCTGGGCCCCCTTTAAGCCCTGACCGGCCGCACTCAGCTCTGCCCGCAGCCTTCTCTTCTCCAGGCTGAACACCCCCAACTCTCCCAGCCTGGCCTCAGAGCAGAGGGGCTCCAGCCCTCGGAGCATTTTAGTAGCCCTCCCCTGGCCCCGCTCCAACAGCTCCATGTCCTCCTGGTGCCGAGGGCTCCAGAGCTGGACGCAGTACTTTCGGAGCTCCGGGACTGTTCCCCCTTGACATCCACCTCCGGGGGTGGTGGGGAAGTAAAAAAGGGCCAGGACCGGAGCTGTGCTGTGTCAGTGCTTTTAACCCCAGAGTAACAGCAGCCCTGGAAAACCCTCTGAGGAACCAACTCTCTGCCGCATCGACCCCTCCGGCCCAGGG